TTATGAAAAACTATACATATATTGTTTCTCAAAACCATATTTTTCAAAAGTTTTTCAAAAACTTTGCCCATTAGGATTGTTTTAGAGAATCTTGAAATATTGAGGACTCATTTGAGTTTTGGGATTAATTGAATTGCATACACTTGTTTTAAAATTGCAGGTTATTATATCTATTCCGATTTCCTTCACCATGTCAAATCCTAAACGTCCTAGGTCTTCATCTAGTCGTTCTAGTCGTCAACCAAATCCACCTCAAAATCCTCCTTCTATTCCAATTTCTAATCCCAATCCCACTGATCCTAACTTGACTATCCAAAATTCGTGTTTCAATCATCCTGGGTCTAGAAATCACCGATATTGGTATTATCAATATTTCGATTCTTACAAAATCCGGGAAGAACGTATTCCTTCTCGTCAAGCTATGTTAGCTATCGATTTTAAATATCTTCCCATTTTACAAGAATGGAAATTTGATAAACTATTTGATCTTGAACCCATCGTTTACCATCAACTTGTTCGTATATTCTACTCTAATGCTGTATGTGTTAAAAACCAAGCTGAAACAGAAACTATAGGAATTCGTTCCTACCTCCTAGGACAATTCTTATATATTGACCCGGCATATATAGCCAATACATTTGGATTAAATAATGATGGTATCTCGAATGAAAAACAAATTTTAGGTTCTCGTTACAAAAGAAGAGATAGTGCGAGTGTCTTAGACCTACATGAGCGTTTTCTTCATCTAATGATTTCTTGGTGGTTTCGACCATCCGGAGGTCGTTATTCTACTCTTAGAGCTTTGGATCTTTGGTGGTTACATTGTTTCGAAAACCGTATTAAAATTAACCTACCTCAGATTATTTTTGCTGAAATTGTTGAAACCGTAAATCTTGTTCCTAACAAGAAACACTGTTCATCTCTAGTTTACGGTTGCTTTTTGAGTAATCTGTTTTCCAAAGCTGGGCTTAGAGTAAGTCTAGATGCCATTTTTCCTCTTAAGAAACAAATAAATCTTCTTTCCTTAACGAGAGCGGGATGGGTAAAGGACAAAGAAACCGGTGAATGGGTTCGTTCTTCTACTCCGGGAGCTAGTTCTTCACAAGCTCCACCCGAAGCTGACGAAGATCCCGAGTTTGAACAATTAATGAGGGATATTGATGAAGTTGAAGAAGAACCTGATCAGCCCGAAGAGCAGCCCGAGGAGCAAGCACAACAAACGCATCAAATGCCTCCATATTTTCAATCCTTTATGGAGACATTCGATTACCGATACGCTACCATGGACTCGCGTTTTTCCTTTATAGAGTCTCATTTATCCACAATGGGAGCTCAACAATTAGAGATTCTTCGGGAGATGCGTGCAAACAATGAATCAACCAACGCTCGTATAAATGAACTCACACACGAGATGGCCGCCATGCGAGCCCGTTTTCCTCCTACCGATCCGGATGCTTGATTTTATGTTTAGCTTTAAAACTTTGAACAAAATGAATATTGTTTCAACATTTTGATATGTTTGATTTTGTGGATTGTTGGATTTTGGATATATGAATGGTGTGAACTTATATGTTTGGTGTGTTTTATTCATTTTTGCATCATTTACATTATCATTAGCAATATGACCAATTTTGCCATATCACATTATTTATGAATATTGAATTATGAAACTAATGGCTAACCTCTCTTTTGATTATGATCTTAGCAGCTTAAGCTTATAATTAATAAATCAAATGGCTAAATGATTTACAAAACCTTGTTTTACAATGTCTTTTTGATTTAACAAAAAGGGGGAGAAGAATAAGTGTTAAAGTAAGGGGGAGTAATTTTTTCTAATTTTAATTTTCTAATTTCAAAACTTGATTTCAAAAATCTTAAAATTACTAAAATGTTTTGTTATATCAAAAAGGGGGAGATTGTTGAAACATTTTAATATTTCGATATAACAAATTAAGTTAAATGGATTTTAAGATTTTCCAAATGATTTTCTAAGTATATTCGATATAACTATTCGAATATCAAAACATTACTCCAAATATTTCAAAAATCATTTTTTGATCCTTACTTAAGTGTAAAATTAAGTTTTAATCATAAAACAATTTCAAAATATTTTACAAAGTATTTCGAACCAATTCAAAGCCAAAAATTCCAGAATACTCAGAGGGAACTGATTCCCCCCCATAGGAGGAACCGATTCCCCCCTGAATGGTTTGGCTCCGAGATTTCCAGAATGCTCGGAGGGAACCGATTCCCCCCAAGGGGGTACCGATTCCCCCCTGTTCAACGGTCGAAATATTTGAATTTTACACTTAGGGAACCGATTCCCTATGATAGGGAACCGATTCCCCCCACTGTCCAAGCTGTTTTATTAAATGTTTTCACACTAAAACGGCTATAATATCTTCTCTAATTATCCCCAACGTTCAGAAGTGATTCAAGGTGTATTTAAGCAAGCTTAGAAGCCATTGATCAACAACAAGAAATATCAAGCAACTAGAATCAAGAGAGAATCAAAGAGAAAGCATCAAACCTCAAGTTTGAGCATTTCAAGCCCATTTTCATTCAATATTCATTTTGCTTTCAAGAACACTTTTTGTGCTCAATTGTATTCATCTTTGAGTGTTCTTTTCTTTGTTCTAGAATTGTGCAAACATCTTACCTTGTGAGGTTTTCTTGTAAGTTTGCAAATTTGTAATCTTCTCTTTGAGAAAAGAGTGTTCTCAAGAGTTGGGGTATACTCTTGAGGGAATTGTAAGGTTATCTCTTTGGCCTCAAAAGAAAGAACAAATTAGTGAATTTGTTGGAAAATCCTTAGTGTGGATAGCTAAGGTAGTGGACGTAGACTTTGTTTGAGAAGGTCGAACCACTGTAAATCGCTGTGCAATTGCTTTCAATTTTCTGCAAAAGCTTCCACAAAATTTTTATTGCCAATTCACCCCCCTCTTGGCCAATTTCGTCATTCGATTAACTCAACACAAGTTATATTATTATATGTTTGAGAAAAACAAATTTTAGATTAAACTATGATCGAAACTAATTACATATTTGGATGAATTTGGGGATGAAATTTGAATATTCAAAAGTTTGGGATCAATTTAGAAAGAGGGTTGTAGTTTAGGGTGAAATTATACTATTCAAAAGTTTAATGACCAATTTTAAAATGAGGGTAATAGTTTAGGGATGTATGATGTAATTAGCTATTATTTTTTAGTGGTATGCATAATTAATAGGCTAAGAAATATTATGAACAAATATTACTTTGTAATAACCTCATATTATTCAAAATTTGTTTTTATCATCAAAACGTTTCAATTGATTTTTTATTTGAAATTTATTATTCATAAAAAATATTTTAAAACGTCCAAATAAATAATTTATGTATATATTATAAAAATAATTATTTAAATTAATTGTAGTTAATAAGAGATAACTTTAACGTTTAACAGAAATGAGAGATGAAATATTATTTAAATATATAAAATCTCAGTGTTATTGAAAATTTTGTTATTCTTTTATGTTCCAAGTTTCGGCACTAGAAATGTCAAGGTATAAGTGTTTAATGTTAAATATTTGAGAGTTATCTTTAAACATATACTTTCTTATAGTTACCTCATATTATATTAAAATTTTAAAAGTGTAAAATTATAAAATTTCAAGGTAAATAAAAATTAAATTATCAATAAAAATATAAAAATTATTTAAACTATATAAAAATTTAATTTTTAAAAAATATGTTCATACTGCAGCACTCTTTGCTTGTCCCTGATTGTAATTATTTTTTTCAAAAATACTATTAATATTAAATTTAGATGTTAGTACACCATTTGATCGAATTAAGCTGAGATTTAAAAAAAAAATAAGTTAATCTAGTTGATAAGTTTTATTTTGTAACTCAAATTTTATTAAAAAAATTTATGTCGAATCAAGTCGGTTTGTCTGAATTTCTGTTTAAATTTAATGATAAATCATGATAATATTATAGTATAATTTGATTTCAATTTAAATGATTTTCTATAATTATATATAATACATATATATTTATTCATAATTTCTCATATATATATATATATATATATATATATATGTGCATTTACCATTCAGAATTAAGAGGCTCAATTTAAATTTAAAAATTAATATATTGATATAAAAAATCAAGTTATTATTGGGTTTTTGTTTTATAACCCAACTCAAATTTAAATTTTTTAATTGAATCAATTTAAAAACAATTAAAATTTCAGATAAAGTAAAATTTTAGTAACTCGATTTAACAAAAAAAAGTCATTTGAAGAACTCAACTCATCATGTCATTCATATTTCAAGTCAATGTGATCCATAAATTTTAAACTTTAATCACTCTTTATTTATTGATTGAATCTATAGAGGACATGGTGAGCCACTTCCATTTAATAATTTCAGATTTAACAATGTTTCTAGAAAACTTGTAAAGCATTGGTTAAAGAGAGAAAGTGGAAGGGGAGGGGAGGGAAGTGCCAGTTTTGATGCGCGTGAAAGCCTTGGCAGTGTTGTTAGGAAATGTACAGAAAACAATGGTGGGACAATTAGGTCGGCTAAAAGCTAAGCAAAGCTTACCAAATGTCTCCTACATGTCTCCATCTCACGCTTCACCTCATATATAAAACCCCCGCATCTTCTTCACTCTTCAAATCCCGATTCCATTTGCTTCTCTTTTAAAGCCATTCGTTTTCGCTATTTTATTTTCGACCAAATCTTTGTGCTTTTGTTGTTTGTCTTGCATGCATGGAGCTCCAACTGGGACTCTCTTCCAATCACTCCTTTCAGCGGCGGCGTTGGTGGTGGTTGTGGCAGCAAAAAGAGTCGAGTTGTTCCTAAAACGCTGCGTCTTTTTGTTTGGGACACGAACCAGACTAATGAAGAAGATGGCCACCCGAGAGAGCTCCACCACAACTCTTCTTCTTCCATTCTAAAGTACTACCTTCATTTTCGCTCTCTCCATGTATATGTTGTTTTTATGGGGTTTGATTTAATTGAATTCTTTGGTCTGAAAGCAATGACGATGAGGGTTTAGTGGGGTGGCCGCCGGTGAAAGCCTGGCGGAAGAAGCTTAGCCACAGCGTACACAATGGCAGAGCAAATTACGATCGCATGGCGGCAAAGAATAGCTGCGGCGGTAGAGCTCCAAATTCAACGTACGTGAAGGTGAAACTGGAAGGGAATGCAATTGCCAGGAAAATTGATCTTAGCGCTCATCGCTCCTTTGAGTCGCTTACAGTATCCCTGACGAGAATGTTCAATATATGTAAGTGTATAAACTATAAAATTTTGAAAGTTTTTGGGTTCAAAACTATAAAGTTTTATGGACATGAAACCAGATCATTAATAAAATAATGAAAGTAAAATACTCCATTTAAATTATACGAGAATCTAAATTTTTTAAAATTTAACTCCTTCTATCTATATAAATATGGATGGACAAGGAGGATAAACAGGGAGAAGTTAACGATGACAATCACTCTCATGAAAATTTTAAATTTTCATATATTTTATATTTTTGTTTACATTCTTATAAATATATGTTTTGGTCCCTCTAAAATTATATAAATTTCTTTTTCAAAATAAAGTAAATTATATATTTAGTACATCAATTATCATTTTTGTTTCATTTGAGCCATCTAACTGTTATTTTTTTAAATTCTATTTACATTTTGGTTTAATTTTAGTTACTTGCAATTAAAAAAGTAATAGAATTGCGGACATAACATTTAAATAAAAACAATGATGATATGACATTACATTTGATGGTGGTATGTCAACATCATTGTTGATTTGTTAATGGTATGTATAATTTTGAAATAAAAATGAAACAAAAGCGTAACGTAAGTATAATTTTGAAGAAAAAAATAGTTGAGTGATCAAAACCGAACAAATGTGATAATTAAGGTATAAAATGTGTAATTTACCCTTTAAAATATTATACTCTATCGACCGTTATAAAATTTTACGTCGATTCCTGCGTGTAAACCCCTAAACCTTGCTTAATTCCATACTAACTTCAAGCGTAAATTAACTGTTAATTTCGGATATTGGGTTTGTAACAGCTGACGAGCATTGGAAGAAGAGCTTTAACCTGGCTTATCAAGACAGAGAAGGTGACTGGTTGCTAGCTGAAGATGTTCCCTGGAGGTACCTTTTCTTTTTCTTTGGTATTTTAAAGTTAATATACTGTATCGTTTGAAATGTAAACGTAGTTATATGTTTAAAGTTAGTGACGTTTAATCTCAAAACGCCGCTAAAAATGTCATTATATAACAGTTTTTCTCTGTACTGTTTCCTTTTCCTGTTTGGTTACCTAGAAGCTGATGGCAAAAAGAAACTTTGGGTTAATTTCAGGACCTTCATTCGTTCCTTGAAATGCATCAAGTTAATTCGAAGCAGATGCTAGCAACAACGTTGAAGATGAATGCATCGGCCATGTTTCAGCTTTTCTTTATTTTGGGTTTTAGAAAGAATCTTCATGGCCTTTTTAATTTTGCTTTTTTTTTATTAATGCTTGTATTTTGAATGACTATTTGTAGTATATATAGTAATTTAACACTTTTTTTCCTTGTAAAATCTAAAATATTAATTAGTTGAAAGTTTAGACCATTTTGAGTGAATTGCTGTTGTTATTAGGGATGATCATGATCGGATTGGATTGAATTTTAAATTAATTCGAATTTGATTCGAAAATTGAACTTTTTTATTTGTACTCGACTTGAGTTTAAAAGGATTCTATCTTACCTAAAACTCAACTCAGCGTATATATATAATCTATTTTTGTTAGATGAAATAAGGATTTAATTAAAAAAATAGAGGAGTCGAATTTCTTTCATATTAAATTCGAACCTGATTTGCCTCAGTCCTACCTTTAAAAAACTTGATCTAACCTACTTAAATTCAAATTTTCAAAAATAAAAAATTTGGTTAAATTAAATTAAGTTTGAGGGTGGGCTTGTGCATTTGGATGGGGCAGTCCATGACAAATTTCAAAAATAATAATAATACGTGGGCTCCAATTCCATTCTAAATTGCAGATCTACCCATATCCTCCTCGCTTCTTGTTATATATATATATATATTGTTAAGCTAAGATGATTAAAAAAGTATTATATATTCTAAATACTTTCAATCATTTGACAATGAATGCTTAATCACCTTGTTGTAACCGTTAGTGCTCGAACTCATAACTTTTAGGAATAATAACAATTCTTGTAACTATTGAGGCAATGTAGTTCGTGCTCCTTGCTTCTAGCTTTGGTTACCTTAGTACGAGGTGTTTTCGTTTTCGCTATTGGTATATGTTTTATTAATCAATTATTTTAAATCAAATTTGTAGAGATCTACTATAACTATGAGATAATTATTCGATTTAATTTATTTCATTCACTAACATCAATATTCAAACTCCTGACTTGATCTTAAAGAATCTAATGTCAAATATATGAGATGATTATTCCTCTTATCATTTCATTATATAATTAAATATTTGATTTTTATTTATTAGAACTTAATAATATTTTATAACTAACCATTTATCTCTTTGAAAAACACTCGAAAAGGATGGTCATGGTTCTGCCTCTGGTCGTGGTCGTTTAATAATTTCAATACCCTAGTTTAAGAATAAACAAAATTTCCACATGCAAAATATGTATATTTCCAAGGAGTATATAATTAAACGAAAAATAAAATAATATGAAATTGGATTTTGAAGAATAAACTTTAAAGCAAGTGGAAAGAAGAAGAATAGAACCTAAAGTTTATTTACTCGACAACCTTAGTTGAAAGTGACACAAGTGGTCGTTAAAAACACTTTTATAATAAAATATACCTTTGAAATAAGCGTTTGTTTACTTGGAAAAATTAGTCAATCACTTAAAAAAGGTAAGCCGGCCCTAGTTTTATAAACTCTACTATTTTTATACATTAATCTAGGAGTAAATGATATTTATTTTATAATAAAATAATAAAATTTTTAATAATTAAAAATACTATTTTATTTATTAACCATTCAAAATTAATTAAAGTTGTTAAAAACAATTGTATTGTAAAAGTAAATTAACTATTCATAATTTAAGGATTTAATACTCTCTGATGATAATTACTTTTAGCATAAATAAAACTAAATTATTATAACGGCATTATATATATCATTTTATAATTTGATGTAAGTTTGTTTTTTGGTAAATATGATTTAAGTGTATTTTTGATATCACTAAGTTAAGTGACCTCAAATTGAGGAAGATGTTTAAAAAATATATATTAAAAAAGAAAAAATCATTTGTGAAAATTAATCATCAAAATATAAATGGGATGGTAAAACCGTAAAATGGTAGTATAAAAAATCTTTATATAATGTTAAAAATAATTTTTAACGTTTGACTAAATAATCATTTTGACTCATATTTTTCTTTGAATATTTTAACCGTCGACGTTTTATTTTAGACAAAAAAGGTTCATAAAATTTAAATAAAATAATACCTTAATTCTTATTTTTAGAGCATTTTGGTCGTTAATGTTTCAATTTAGGAAAAAAGGTCTCTTGTTTTGGAGCGTTAAATTTCAAGGGTTAGGTGTCTGATTGAATACAATTAAATAGTTAAGTGTTCTGATTGATAAAATTGAAAGATTGGTGGCAAAAGTAAAATGGGCTAATAGTTGAGTGATCAATTATATAGTTTACCTAAAAATAAATTAAAAGGAAAGTACAAGTTTCTACATGTTTCTGTCAGCGGAACCCACACCAAATTTATGATGCGGAGCGTCTCATGTGAGAGAGAAAACAAAAACAAAAACTCATCTCACGAGAGAATTTGATTTGAATTTGAGGCACAAAAACAAATCACACAATATCTCTCTTCTCGTTGCTATATATCTTAATTCTCAACGATATTTTGCTATATTTTCCTTTATTTTCCGCTCATCGAGTGGGTTATCAATGAGTCGGGGTTTACTTAATATCAAATGGGTTTGACTTTGTTTGTTTCGAGAAATTCTATTTTGATCCTTCAAAATTAATTTGGGTTAACTGCACAGATGATCACTTATTTTTGTATTTTATACACTTTTGATCACTCATTTCAAAAACATAAAATATGACTATTTTTGTTTCTATTTAATTAAGATATGATCACTTTCATTTTTAATTAATTAAGATATGGTCACCCCGTGTTAAATGCTATTAACAACAGTTAAATATTTTGATATAATCACACATTTGATCCTTGTTATTCACATATTCTCTCAATTTAATCATACTTTTAAATCTATTATGTTATTTTCTTAACTATAAGATTTATTCGATTTATGCATATGATAAAGTAAGTCTAATTATATTGTTTATGAGCTATCATTTTATCACATTCTCTTTATATATCTGATCACTTTAGACACTTATAAATTTGTTTTATTATCGTTGTAATACCTAATTTTCTCCTAATATTAAAAAAGGAACAAATTGTAGGGACCAAATGTGTATTTTTACCTTTTTTAATTTTTGGGGCTTCAAAAGCCAATCAGAAATCTTGTAAACAACCCCCAGCTTTGTAGACCATAAAGCAAATAAAAAAGGAGTCCCTCTCCTTGATGTTCATGTTTTTCTCCCTCCTTTTATGTTTGTTTCTTTAAGTTAAACAGAAATGTGGTGAAGATGACTTGGTCAGTGGTCGATCGTCATTTTTCGGGGAAGTCGGTGGTTGGTCGTCATATGTCGGAGAGGTGTATGAGTAGTTGTCAGTCGAGGGTTTAGGGTGGTTCAAATGGTGGTTGTGGAGTTTGAGAACTCACGGTTGGAGAATAGAAAGTTTAAGGTCGGTCGTCGTTTTGTTTCCATCCGGTCGGTCCAGAGTCTTATCCGGCCATGGTTGTGAGAGGTCGGAGTGTGTTGGTCTCTAGCCCGATGAGAAACGCCACCATTGGGCGGTGGGCAGGCCTAGCTTAGCCTGGGAGGAATTCTATTCGTGAGGCAGTAGAGCTGGAAAGCTTTATCTTGTTTTTGGGGTAAATTATACTAAGGTCCCTGGACCTTTCATTTGTTCTTACCTTTAGTCACATATTTTGTGGGTAAATCATCTGTTAGTCCTCCCAATTTTAGCATGTTTCATGCTTTGGTCACTATTGGGGGAAATCACCTTTAAATCCCATATATTTTTGCCCTTTTTGCACTCTAATTACTTATTTTTTTTATTTATTTCAAAAGTGTATGCAGATTTTACTAACTTTTAATTTGGTCACTATTTTGTTATGTTATTTATTTCAAGTTAATTACTAAATTTTTTTTATTGCATATTAACTACTAACTTTTATTTTATTGCACTTTAACCATTGTTATTTATTTATTTATTGTTTCTAATATTCGATTCGACCTTGTGGTGACCCGATCCGGGGTATTATCCACATTATTATGGTTCGGACTCTGTTAACCACTAACATTTTTATTTTATTTTATTTTTATTAATTTGTTTTAATTATTTGATTCGACCTTGCGGTGACCCGATTTGGTGCATGATCCATATTATTATGGTCCGGACTCTGCTAATTTCTAACGGCTAACTTTTCTAACAACTAACCTTTCTAACCGCTAATTACTAACTACTAACCTTTTATTTATTTATTTATTTATTTTATATTCGAACCATGTATGAACTTGCTATGACTCGGCTCGGGGTATGACTCGCAGTATTTACAGTCCGGATTAATAATAAAATTCGATACTAACATTTTATTTTTATTGTACTTTATTTATGTTATTTAATTTTATGCACTTTTAAATTTACACCATTTTATTTTCTTTATTTAATTTTAGTATTTACGTTTTACTTGTTTTAATGTTCTAATCGCTTATTTATGTATCTTTATTTTTTATAACTTTAATTTTGTTCCTTTAATTATTTTTTATTGTTTGTTTATTTTACTTCTATAATTTAATTTTTGCTTAGTTAAATTTTATTTCCTTTCATTTTTACCATGTGTGGATATTATTTATTTGTTCGTATTATTTATGTATGTATATATTCTTTGCTCTTTGGAATTGGTTTTAAATGATTGTACAAAATGTTGTTTCATTTATTTTTAACGTTTTTACTTGATTATTTTCGAGAGCACTAATTTATAGAATGAGCATGAAAAGCACTGTTTGGTCGATGTAGTGCGACCCGACACGACATTCGAATTAAATGTAAACTTGAAATAAATCGAGTTTATTTTTAAAAAAAATGTAAAATAATTCATTTTTATTCAAATGATGCAATGTGTGTTTTTTTAAATAGTAATTTATTTTATGCAATTATCGATAGTTGATTTATATTCGATTTGTGCTTTTTGATAACGTTGGGGAGGGGACATTTCTCGTATAAAGGAGAAATAAATGGGATAGCTTTTGTAACACCCCCAACCCGTATCCTACCCGGATCCGAATCCGAGGTGTCACATTGACTTTTCAAACTTTGACTCTTGACAAAATTCAAAGAAAATTTAAAACTTTCATTAAAGTAAAAGCGGTTTATTTACATAAATTGACCA